TCAGTTCTGTTAATAGTCATTTTCAAATGTGAATCTGCAAAATCCAAGAAAAGCTTTTGCCTAGAACAAAATCACGGGATAAAACATCATAATTTCAAAAAGAGAGCATTTAAATGTGTAATAATGTAAGATACCACAATTTGGATAGCCAGCTCAAACTGCTTGTCGGCGATAAGAAGGGAAACATTCTTGCGGATATTTGCATGAACATCCAACATCCAAACGTCGAATGGACTGCTCACAAAGACGTAGCCACTAAAAAAGGCAAAAATTGAAGAGTAATGAAGAAACCTACTTTTTAATGTTTTGAAACATAGAATCATTGAGTCCTGCTATACTGGAATTCCCTCATTTAATGTAATCTCGCTATAAACCTTCTGTGCTCTCTTAATGACTCACTTAAATGCTTAGAGCGCAAAAAGCAATTTGCTGTTCAAATCGTAAACAGTAAGAGTGAAAATACGAGAATAAAAACTAACGGATTCCCTTTGCAAAGCAATGAAGCTTTGCTGAGCGCCATGCTTTGAATTAGATATGTAGGTGACAACGATCTGACTTCGACTCTTCCTCTGGGTAGTAATCCAACAAGGTACGGAGAATCGTAAACTAGATAAAAACTAAAAAATTAATGGAAAAATGCTGATAATGAAAGAATCACACCTATATCGGTCAATACATCGCTAAATCGCACATCCGGCATAGGCGTTTTATGCCCTTCGAAATTCGTCAAAACTACAGTATCACCATGAAGAAATCCAAGAAGATCTCGATCATCCATCTTTACAATCCCTGCATTATCACTGAATTCGAAGAGACGGCGACATTCACCGATCATAAGCTAAAAGTTAGGGATACGCCAAGAGATCTTAGTTAGATACGATAGGGATAATATCACCTCCTCTTCCTCGCTGCTCTTATCATTCAGTTTCATTAAGATGTATTCACGACCACAACTCAAAAACAAAGCGTCGTCAACGACTCTGAGAAAAAAAATATGGTAGGAAAAGCCTTTCAACGTTAGAGATAGGTAGTCAAAAGGTAAAGTTCAGTAAAGGAAGAACAGAAAGCATTCCATCACTTACTTCAAGGTACCTGGCTTGTCTGTAAACGACTGGTTGTACTCAAATCGAACCTCGTGGAAGTCTTTTTCATACCACTTGAACAGATACAATCGTTTCTTGGAGGAAACAAAAATGTGCATCATATCCCTGTCCTAAAAATGGAATTTAATTTCATGACACAGGAAACTCACATTTCATTGCATACCTTCCGATACCAAGTGGTAAAACACTGAACTGGTTTTATCTTATGAAGAATCGAGAGAACAGGGTAATGTCGGTCCTCTAAAAATCAACGACTATGAGATCTGTTAAATCAATTCGCATAGGGCTTAAAAGTAGGAAAACATACTCAAAGAATGAGCAGCCATTTGCCCATCAGACACACAAAACAACACATCTTGCTCTTCGCAGACTGTCAACTCCAACACGGCTTTTCTTTCAAACTGCTTGCAAAGATTGTCGAGATCAAAACCACGACGATCTTAATTGAGGTTTCAGAGGTCCGTTCTTCAAGCAATTTTGGAAAAATTGCAGAAAGTAGACCTACTAGCGCGTCTAGGGCTGTATACAAATAGCTGTCCAACTTTACTGCCAGCAAGAACGCTTCCATTGGAACCTTAATAGGATTAGACCAGATGGTAGCGCTCAACAAACACAGAAGGATAGCAAACATCCAACTCTACCAAATACTTCTGCCTATATTGATTCTCGGAAAAAAGTAATGATTACTACAGAACAAATTTTCAACCCCTTAAAGAAATTAACGTGTGTCATCCACACAATTAAGATATTCCCCTCACATCGATGCTTTCACTCTATTCACTTAGAAAGACAACTGCCTACTTCCAAATGACGATACGTTTGAAATAATCGAACGCTGGAACAAGAGATCTACA